TTTTAACGTTAAACCGGCAGTATAGAAAGGCTGGTTATTTTTGTTTGTGACGTTAAATAATGAAGTGTAGTGCGAAGAAAACATCCATGTTTTGAATGACATTAAGAAGCTTTTCGCCTGTTTTTTTACTACTCCGCTTAAGTAATAACTTAGCAAGTTTGAGCCTCAAAACTTCCACGAAGATCAAATTTTGGAACTATAAAACATCCATAATATGTTCATAGCCAAAATTTTCTGAACTATACGAGAAAAACAGCCTAGATCCGGTATTTTCAAAGAGTGGTACAATTTAGTCTTTGGGTTCGATTCCCAATGCACTGTTTTTTTTATAAAACTAAGTAACATCTTTATTCTTTTTTATGTTAAAGAGTTGAACGTTCAATATCTACATTTGTATTATAGAGGAAAGCGTATTTAGGGCAATATATATAAAATAATTTCATTTCAAAGATGTATATTTCTTGACAAATACACGTGGTCTGATTGGAAAACTAATATCTTCGACATTGATTTACTCAGAAGAAGTCTTTAACAGAGAGAAAATTTGTATTCTTGGCGAATGTCTCATGAATTTCTTTTTTTACAAATCTGATTAAAGTGGCTTTAGTGTACGAAAAGAATTAAAACCTATATATTTTTTGTAAACATGAGATAAAAATATCCACAAATGTTTCGTTAAATTTTTTGTTTTCAAAGAATCTATAGATATGACTATTGATACTTCCTTCAATTTTTGATTATGTTCAAAATACTCATTTACAGTCCTTTTCTGGCTATATACAATCCAGGCTTAGAGCTTCATCTACACAAGTTGCAATGTACTTCACGTGATGTAAGTATTGACTTCGCGTGACGTAAGTAATGACTTCACGTGATGTAAGTATTGACTTCGCGTGACGTAAGTAATGACTTCGCGTGACGTAAGTAATGACTTCATGTGATGTAAGTATTGACTTTGAAATCTTACGTATATAAATGCATACTTTTATGTAAGTGCTTCCATAAGAAATATCTCCTGATAATACACGTCCTTCAAACTTTATTAATTTCTTTTTTTCATTGAGTTTCTTTAGTGTCGTGTTAGCATTCCAATGTGAACAGCAAATTTTCTTGTTTTAACATGAGCAAGGTGCAAAATACATCATATATTAACAGACAATATAAATCATATAATGTTTGATAGTATGAAAGTCATTCTATTTTATTTTCAGAAAATCTGTACTTATAAAGCTGATAGCTCCGTCTATAGTCATTCATATTCATATTGTTATTGTTGTATATAAAATTAATCGCTTTGGTTTCGTGCGTCGCATCTGATGTAGAAAATTTTAGACTCTTCGCTAATTGGAAAATTTTGTTAAAAATACTACTTCATGGAATAGCTAAATACCAATTATTGATTACAAATTGTTAATGACTACCTTTTGAGCCAAACTCTGATTGGATTGCAACACTTTCTGTTTTACAACTTGAACATTTTGAATAGCATGCAGTTACGTTTTACACATGAATAGGAGTTGTGGTTAGCAATAAGTTTATCAAACTAAAGAGTAGAGTTATTAAATAGTTAGATTTGTGGTTGTGCTAGTGTCAGAGTTAGCATTAATATTTCCTAAAAGTGTTAGTGTTGGATTTGATGTGATGATTGCATTAGAAACCGTAGATTATGTTAATATCAATTTTATTACAATTAATTGATATTAAAATTGTTCATAAGAAACAGCAAATGAGAGAGTTAAATCAGAAACATATCAACCAATCAAAATTGTATAAAACATGTTTAAGGTTGTCTTTAGATGTCGAACTAAACTAGGCCTTAAATTACAAGTGTCTGAAAAAGGCACAGTGTCAGAAGTAGTTAATTGAACATTGCTTGGTTTATTTTATAAGAAGAACTCTTGTAAACAAAAAGATGAAATTCGAAAGCAAAAAACCTGTTTTCAGTCCATGCTTCCCGATACTCTCTTAAGCGTGTAAGGCACTAGAACGCCGCATGTTAACGTTTCGGTAGGAGATTTCAGCCTCCCCACGCTATCCTACTTGGGGATGCCAATAGCAAGCTTCCGCCCATCAGACACCGAGATCACCTGCGATAGGCTTTCCTCGAGTTACGCAGGGAGAGTGCGGTCGCGACCGATGTTTGAGCCCCTAAGCCATTGGATACCTTATCGTACCCAGTTTCCACTGCTAGTTGACGTCTACTTGCCATGACCATGAACTTGGGCAGCTGGTCAAGTCGACTGCACATTTTTAAGCAATCTGCGCATGTGCAGATGATTTATCTAAATAATTTTCACTGAGCGAGCTAATTACTCCATAATGGGTGCTATTACATACAGTTGGTCGTTGCCATGACCATGAACTTGGAGAGTTGGTGCAGTTGACTACGCATGCTGAGATTAAATCTCAAGCGAGCGAGCTCTGAAATTGGTGTTTATATATGCGCTTAGCAATTTTCACTCGCTATATAATTTTCACTTTATTACAAAACCATTCATCGAATATTCGTTGACTATTTTCGCACAGCATGGCCGTGATTATATGAGTATATATGGTTAAGTACAAAAACGATTACATTTCTTCTTTCTTGACAGCATATTTTACGGTAGTTTTTCTCCCCTGTACTCGTCTTTTATATACTGGCTTCTCGATGCTCAAATATTTTATTCATATTCTTCTCTAAATACTGTCCATGTGGAGCAAATTAACTGTTCGTTGAGAACACTTTATAAAGTCATGACGGTGTTTTACAATAACTGGTCGATGTGATAACTTCAACATAAACAGCATGCCTTTCATATGCTTAAATATGGTGCGGTGTACCCACTGACAAATAGCTTGCTTGGTCGACGTCTTTAAAACTCTGCATTGATAACCTGCAGTGTAAAATGGAATTTCGTTGAGAATCACTTCTTAACTTGACATAATAGTCGTTCTACATGCGGTCTCTCATCAATATTGGTAAACATTTCGGCTTGCTCTCGACCAGCTCATTGCCCAAGTTCTCGTCAGTTTTCGAGTAATGTTGAAAGCGTCAATCAATTACTTCTTATCTTCTTGTGTACTCCCATTTCTCACTCTCTCAACCATTGTACTTCTTGTCGTTCCGTTAATTCACAGGTCTTAATTTACGGGCTTGTTGTTATTTAGATATATCCTTGTGCTTGGTTCATACGTGTCTTGAACGATAAGACTTTTTTTCTTTATCGTAGAGGTTTACAAAGACAAAGAAATTGGGATTTTTGTATAAGTCTCGCAACAGTAATATATGGGTCTACCTTTGTGTCTACCTTTATCTTCACCTTTATGTCTACCTTTATGTATGTCTAACTTTATGTCTACCTTTATGTCTACCTTTAGGTACGTCTACCTTTATGCATGTCTACCTTTATGTATGTCTACCTTTATGTCTACCTTTATGTATGTCTACCTTTATGTATGTCTACCTTTATGTCTACCTTTATGTCTACCTTTATGTATGTCTACCTTTATGTATGTCTACCTTTATGTATGTCTACCTTTATGTCTACCTTTATGCATGTCTACCTTTATGCATGTCTACCTTTATGTCTACCTTTATGTATGTCTACCTTAATGTATGTCTACCTTTATGTATGTCTACCTTTATTTATGTCTACCTTTATGTATGTCTACCTTTACGTATGTCTACCTTTATGTACGTCTACCAGGGTGCGAATCAACGGTGTGCAATGTGCAATTTGCACATCGTTTTGGCTAAAATGAAAATAATTGCACATCACTTTTTCAAACGATGTGCAAAAAAAGTTTTTCATTAATTACTATCACATATATTGAAAAAAAAGTTTTTAAAATCTTAGGCCATGTAATTGGCCATGTTGACACAATGTCATCAAATTTAAAAACGTCGTCACTTTGAGACTGGAAAGTCTGTCAACAGTCGACATAATGGTTGACATACATGGTTCTTCTGACCATATACGGATGTAATTCATTTATAAATATTAATTTTTGCATTGCGCTGTTTTGTAGTTTGTACATCATTACTTTTGGCATCATAGCTATTTTGAGTGTTTTCGATAAAATCAGGAGACATTTTCCTTCTGATTCCTAAAAAAACCTTTAAAATTTTCAAATTTGAAAAATAAGCCAAAAAGATTTTTGGGAGCGAAACCAAACTGGCAACCTTGATTAACCGTACTTTTTGCTTTTACGCATTGTTTGTAATATGACAAAAATATTTTTTGTTATAAGTAAACATCAATAAAACATATTAGATAATCAGAAGACAAAAGTAGCTATATGCGGTGCATGTTTCTTTTGTCGCTTTTGTTTTTCTTGCCATGATGGCTTCTTCGTCGAAAGGTTGTACTAGCAAAATTAACACAGTAGAAAAATGGATAGAAACATTAAATGCCGACTGGCTTGAATACGAGAATGATGGCCAAGTGGTGAATTCACTGCGCTGTAAAGTTTGTAGAAACAAAGAGGACAGAATAACAAGTGCAAAAAATTTCTCTCGTACATTCATAACAGGATCAGCTGTTGTAAAGAAAAACACAGTGGTAAATCATATGAATTCTGATCAACATAAGATGGCAGTTAAGCTAAATTTGAAAGAAACGTTGAATGAGAAATATGTTGAAGAATACTTAAACGAAACTCCCATTGGGCAAGGACTCGACAAAATGGCAGTTGCCGATCGCGAAAGCATGGAATATCTCTTTAACACCACTTACACTGTGTGTAAAGAAGAGTTGCCTTTCAAAAAGTATATCCCCATTTGCAAGCTCCTGGAGAAGTGCGGCGTTGATCTAGGTTAATCGTATCGAACAGACCGATCAGCTGCTGAGTTGTCAGATCACATTTCTGGGGTCATAAAAGGAAATCTTGATGAAGATTTGAAGGATACTAGATATTTGTCAGTTTTGTGCGATGGCAGCACCGATACGAGTGTAAAATTACAACAATTATTTTACGTGTTATATGTGAATAAGAACGGTCATAGTACTTGCTAATTGATGTCGGTTGAAACAGTTGAAAACGAAGATGCTGCAGGGCTGAAGGAAGCTATGAACGAAGCTTTTGCCCGTTTTGGCATCACAAACTTTGAATCGAAACTAGCTGCAACTGGTCTAGTTGGGGTAAGTTTTAATATGGGGAGAAATACTGGTTTAGAAGCTCGTCTAAAAGAAGTCGCTCCTTGGCTCACTGTCGTCCACTGCTTCAATCACCGTCTAGAATTTGCTGCTGCCGACGCATTCAATGCTACGTTTTTTGCACAAGTAGATGAAATATTGCGTCAACTGTTTTCTCTGTACCAGAAGTCACCGAAGAAACTGAGAGAGCTGAAAAAACTAGCTGAAGTGTATGGAGAAACTGTCTATAAGCCCATCAAAGCAAGTGAGACAAGGTGGATAGATCACAAAGTGCGCGCCACGAAGGTTTTCCTGGAGAACTACGGCATGTATATGCAGCATCTTGAACAGGTAAAAATGGGTAATTTTCCAACTTTTGCTGTTTTCCATCAAATTTGCATCGCCTCCTTAAATTTTCTAGAATAAAGTTTGCCTGTAATAACAGTAATAAGCATTTTTATTAAATTATTTAATGTCATGTAATATGTTACTTTTTGTTTCTTATGTAGGCCGCAACTACTTCACCTGATGCCCAAAAGCAGAAGATAAATGGATTCCTAGCTAAATGGAAAGACGCTCGTTTCCCAATGTATGCTTCTATCTTTGTGGACATTATTGGTCCTTTCGTGTTTTGTCTCTTGGACTACAAACTGACGACAATGATCCAGTTAAAGCTTTAAAGAGAATCAAGGAATTTGACTGGACTATGGTCAAGCTTCAAGGTAGTACATTTGGCAAGGCTACTTTCGATAAATTTAGGAAGGATTGCAAACCTACTGGTGACGACAAGAACCAGATTTCGTATCAAGGTGTTGTGCTCACAAATTATCCCCGGGCACTAAATGGAGCTGCGGGACAACGACAAGAGTGGATAGATGCGATTATCCTCTGTTTGGGCAATCGCTTTAGTGATCTTCAAGAGACACCAGTTTACAAACACCTTTGTCCAATTATAGACACCCAGTCCTGGCCAGGTAAGGAAGTTCATTTGGTGAGCTATGGAGACGAATCGGTTACGCTACTTGTCGACCACTTCATTCAGCTTTTGAAGCATAACGTATGGGATGTGTCGAACGATACGATGCCGACAGAAGAATGGAGTGGGCTTAAGTTGTTGATTTCAGAGACGTATGGCAGAGCTATACCATACTTAGATGTTTGGGCTGCCATTCTCTCTTCACCAGTTAGTAAAGAAAAGTTTTTAAACGTTCTTAACATTGTGGAACTGTTATTAATTACGCATATCTCTAATGCTGTGGTTGAGCGAATGTTCTCAACAATGGCCAAAATAAAGCCACACCTACGTAACAGAATGTCAAGAGGAAGATTGGACAGTCAGCGAATTAGTGAGGAGGGTCATCACTAATTCGCCGAATTAGTGAGGAGGATCAGTGGAAGAGTATGATCCAGCTCCCGCAATAGAGCGGTGGTATGAACAAAAGAAACGAAGGATTGGATATGGAGGCCATGCTTACCCAGAGAAGCGAAAGAAGAAAGTCGATACGTTAGAGGCATCAAGCTGCAGCAAACATGCTTATTTTTCGGACTAAGACTCGTCAGAAAGTAACTAGTCGTGTACTATAACATGATAACTTGTAAAAATGTATACGTTGATAAAATGTTATAAAAATATTACGTTCTAAAAATATTAATTTAGTAAATAGTGCAGTATAATAATTAATGTAATATCATTTGATTATGCCTCTGGAGAAAAATTTTTGTCGAAAAAATTTGCACATTGTTTTTTCTCAACTAATTCGCACCCTGACGTCTACCTTTATGTATGTCTACCTTTATGTATGTCTACCTTTATGTATGTCTACCTTTATGTCTACCTTGATGTATAACTTTATGTCTACCTTGATGTCTACCTTTATGTATGTCTACCTTTAGGTCTACCTTGATTTATAACTTTATGTCTACCTTTATGTATGTCTACCTTTATGTCTACCTTTATGTCTACCTTTATGTCTACCTTTATGTCTAACTTTATGTCTACCTTGATGTATAACTTTATGTCTACCTTTGTGTCTAACTTTATGTCTACCTTTATGTTTACCTTTATGTCTACCTTTATGTCTACCTTGATGTATAACTTTATGTCTACCTTGATGTCTACCTTTATGTCTACCTTTATGTCTACCTTTATGTCTACCTTTATGTCTACCTTTATGTCTACCTTGATGTATAACTTTATGTCTACCTTGATGTCAACATTTATGTCTACCTTTATGTCTACCTTTATGTCTACCTTTATGTCTACCTTGATGTATAACTTTATGTCAACCTTTATGTCTACCTTTATGTCTACCTTTATGTTAACCTTTATGTTTATTTTTATGTCTACCTTTGTCTTCCTTTACGTCTACCTTTATGTCTAGTTTTAGGTCAACCTTTATATGCGATAAATATATGAAAGCAAGATTTATCATCGATATTTTGAATTTGTTGTTTACAAAATTTTACAGCTTGCTTTGCTTGAGAGATTTTAGCACTGCAATTTGGCATTTGGTAGGATTTAGCTTTCATACTTTCGCTATAATACATTTAACACTTCCTTCGTGTTGATATTAAGTAAAACGCTTCTCAATGTTTCGCTTACTTTTGTGGCTTGATCCAAACTCTTGGGAATGTTTAAACCGAAAAAATGACTCGACTTCTGCTCATGTTTTCCGACATTCTTTCAAGTTTTGATCGGATCGTCAAAACGGAAATTGTTTGATCACCAGACGTCTTGTTAAAAGATAAACTAAATACACTGGATATGTCCCATCTCTCTGGCACTCCATTGAACTAAAATACATGAAACGCTACCTGTAATACAAAACCTTAATAATTTTTTGAAGTCGCGCTATAACCCCAGACACGCGAGATTTTACCCCATACACGCGTGTGTAGTAATCAATTTTCACACCACGAGAAAATCTCGAAACACTACTCACGAGTGTCTGGGGTAAGGTCTCGCGTGTTTGGTGTAAGATTTGGCTTCAATTATTGCTTCAGGTAGCGTTCCATGTATTTTAGTTCAATGTGCAACTAGAATGATGAATCATATTGTTTAAAACAAACGAATAAATACCGAAGGAAATGACAAGAAAAACATTGACTTTGTATAAATAATAGAAGTGTATACGTACATACGACCACCACACCACCACCGTCACCAAAATACTGAATTTATTGAAATTTATTTCACTCAGTATGTTACGCTATAACATAATTATACTATATGTTATACTATATCATTACACAATATTGAATACATCGAGTTCTAAAAGACCTATGATTGATAAATAATTTTTACGAATTCAAATAAAGACTACAATTATTATGAAATACATTGACTAAAATGACTATGTAATGACTAAATGGCCAGCTGGATGACCATCGTTCAGTTCAACAGATAATGGCCGTTCAGTTCAACAGATCGTAGAGATTGCTATCATCTTGGTTCACGTTATTGGAATTCACCTGATTTTGCCTCATCGCTTCTTGTGTCAGAGTTGCCTGCGACAACTGTTGAGGACGCGGTACAGTTGTCAGCGGTTGCGTCTTTATTTGACTTTGAGGACGTTGTGCAAGTTGCACCAGAATATTACTATTTGATAATGCTTGTTTGACGAGAGACTGTTGCTGCGTCTGCTGCTGTTGCAATTGAAGTTGCTGAGTTGGTTGCAGTTGAATGTGTTGTTGCGGGTTGTTGTCTATTTGCATATGCGCAGTAAGCTTATCTGCCTCCTCCTGAAGATGTTGGTGGGGTTTTGGCTCCTGTAAATCATGCTGTCGCAACTGAATTTGTTGTGTTTGGTGCTGCAGAGCATGCAATTGTTGCTGCTGTGAAGTCTGCGTTTGCGTCATTTGTTGTTGCTGACTCAACATTTTCTGCTGTTGCAATTTTTTGTGAAGTTGCTGCATGTGAAATTGCTTTTGTTGTTGTGAAGTTTGTTGTAGCTGTTGTTGCGAAAACTGAAGTTGTTGTTGCAAAGGCTGCTGCTGTTGTTGTTGTTGTTGTTGTTGCTGTTGCAAAGGCTGCTGAAATTGTTGTTGTTGCATCTGCTGCTGCAACTGTTGTTTAGATTTTTGCATTTGTTGAAACTGTAACTGCATGTTGTTTTTTGCAACCTGAATCTTGTGTTGCTGGTTTTGCTGTGGAAATTGCTGTGGAAATTGCTGCATTGTAAGCTGAGTACTGGTCTGTTGTTGTTGTTCTTGTTTTTGTTGCAGCTGCAGTTGGTGATGTAACTGTTGTAACTGTTGCAATTGTTGTAAGTGTTTAACAGGTTGCATAGGTTGTGGGACATGGGAGTTCACTTGTTGCAAAAGAAGGCGCGCTCGATTGGCATTGATACGGTTAATTCCTGCAGTGTTATTTCCAGTTGTTCCTGAATTTGAAGCTTGTTGTTGATGCATCAGTTGCTTTCGCTGAAAGAAAAGAAAACGAATATTTCAGAACATTTCCATTAAAACATAAAGATAAAACGAGTAAACTTGTGAAAAGCAAACATCACATATCCTCAATTTAACACGGACTCTTTCCTTTTTTTAAAAACTCCCCCTCTGGAAAGGTCACGAAAAATTAAAACCCAGAACATTGCAATGTGGAGATGCATCATGATCTTAAATATGACGAATGTTTGACGAGTAAAAAAAATCAAAATTGAAAGTCCTCTAGGTTACCTCCGTTATGTTCACATTTACACTTGACTGGGTGATTAATAGTTATTGAATGGAAGCGTCACTTCCGGTTAAATGGTGCGCTTTGATTGGTTCAAAAACATTTTTGCCGGTCAATATTTTCCCGTAATCGACCACGGTCCAAAACGCGTAATTTTACAGTAAAATGTAAACAAACTTCGTGATGCAAACAGCAAAACGCAAAATAAACGAAACAAAAAACCGTTTACGAATATGATTCGAAGGAAAAACACTTGGAAAACAGTTTAACTATCCAGACGATACAATTTGAAACAATTTATTTTTTATGATAGAAAACAAGAAAAGTGAAAGCCAACTCGTACAAAACAGCAAGGACGAGAAAGAAAGCTTAATTTCAGGTCAAATAATGCCATATAATAAACCTTTTAATAACCTCGCTTTCTCCGTAAAGACCTTGCGCTCGGTTATTAAAGGCGAATACAATATTAGTTATTCATATATTTTTTATTTTAATCATAGATTTAGTTTCCTCCTGTTTAAATTCGCCTTATTGATAACGCTTTCCGTGCCTCCACTTTCAAAAGCTTCACAATGTTTAAGAATGATGCCGAAATAACTGGTTTTGCAGGTCCACTTTCGATTTCGCCAAAGTATGACAACGTTTTTTCAAAATAGACATGTTTCGACATTATTTCGACATGTCTATTTTAAAAAAACTCGTCGTGCATATTAAATGTGCATATTAAATGTGCATATTAAATGTGCATATTAAATGCGCAATAGTGCTTCTACGATATTACAACGTTAACAAAAAAAAAGATTTCTGTACTTCGGAAGTAGCCCCTTCACCAAGTGGAAGCATTCATACCTGTTTAAACAACTGTATCAAATCTTGACCTGGCAACTTGTTATTAATTTGCTGATTCAACATGTTGCTGCTAATACTTTGTTGTGGTGTACCAGCTACCGACAATGTACTGTTGCTTAGCTAAAAATACAGTTCATAAGTAAAATGCGAGAAGTTAAGTTTAAATAGTAATTAAAATTTTCCAAACACTAATCAAAAGCTCGACTTCTCCACTTGTATAATTACAACAACACGTTTTGCTATACATATATGAATATATTAAAAAAATAATATTATTCATATACTCTGGCAAGCAACAATGAGAGCAGGAAAAAAAACAGCTGAATGATAATAATGGAAAGTCGATTAAATTGTTTAAGGTGATATAGTAACCACTCCCTTCGACATAACGAAAAAATTAGAAGAAAAAAAAACCATATAGAGTCAAAATCATTGAAATAAAATGCATGTAACGCTTCGTGTAGTACAAAACCCTAATAATTTTTTGAAGCCGTGATTTTACCCCAGACACGCGTGTGTAGTCAATAAACTTTTACTCCGCGAGAGAATCTCGAAACACAACACACGCGTGTCTAAGTGTAATCTCACGTGTCTGTGTGTAAAATTTGGCTTCAATTATGTGATTCAGGTAGCGTTCCATGAATTTTACTTCAATGGTTTAAATATACACGTAAAAGTTGGCAAAGTACTCAAACATTATCTCTTCAATAAAAAATTTTGCTATTTTACCTGCATTGATGTGTTTATGTCTGCAATTGATTTTTTTGGAGATGGATTGACAGGCAAACGAATAAGCCTTGGTTGCAATGGTTGTTGAATCTGTTGTGCTGACTGTTGCTGTAGCGCCTGTCCTGGCGTTGGTTGCATCGGCTGTTGCATTGGCTGTTGCTGCAACTTCTGTCCTTGTCCTTGCAATTGTGGCATTTGTTGTGGTTGCATTTGTTGCGGTTGCATTTGTTGCGGTTGCATTTGTTGCGGTTGCATTTGTTGCTGTGGCGTTTGCTGTTGTTGAGCTTGCTGTCGTTGCATTTGCATTCTGTAAGCTGCTGCGTTCAGCTGTGAAGAGCAAAGAAACATTAAATATTCAGTCACGAAGTAGAATAAATTTTCTGGAATAATCCGTAAACGAATTAAATTGGGTTATCCGAAAACTGATGATGCTTTGAAAGGAGGAAAAGCTTGACGTGTGATATAAGACAAGAGTTGTTTTGTCAGAAGTGTGGTGTAATCAGTGAAATGTGATATGAACTGAAGCGACAACTATTTAAGCACTCATGGATTAGATTGTCGCCGATTGATGAACTGGAAAGGCCTGTGAAACCCAAAATTTCCATGGCAACTTCGCATGGTCGTACACACTGTTTGCACGTCTTTGACTGTGGACATTTTTTACGTTAATTTAATGTCTGGATATATTTCGTGCAAATATATTCTTACGTCTGTGATTCAAAAATGGAGAATATACGTATGACTAAAAAGATAACAAGGAGTAATATTATTTAATATATTTTTCTTCGATATTTCCATCGCATTAAAAAAAAGAAATGGCGCAACCTAATGACGTCAAAAATGGCGGCAAAGTTATTAGTCCAGTTAATATTATAGATCACTGGGGATAATATAATCAATGTTGTAATGTTTTAAAGAATAATTCAATTTCAACTGCGGCAACAAACGGCAAAATAAAACTGTTTGCAAGCTGCTGTTAAACGTGAATTTCAAAATTTGACACTTTCCAATTTCATAAATTTTAAATGAGATATGAGACAATTTATATGAGAAATTTTAAATGAGACATTCATTCATAAATTTTAATAAAACGCATAGTTTTCACACATAGTTTTGACAAGTAAAGCAAAACAGTAAAGAAAAATATGACGTGGGATCGCAAAGTCAGCAAATGGTTGGCTTGAAATCATAGTTAAAACTTCTCAAAAAAATGAACACCGATGTTTGGTATAACCATAAACCAACTGGAAACCGTTTCGGAGTTAATGACTGACAAAGTGGAATAGATAATTTACGTATCTGATAAATGCATAAATTATTTGATTAATGTATAAGACATTATCTGATCAATGCAAACATTATCTGATCAATGCATACATTACGCACGTATCTGATCAATGCATACATTATCAGGTCATTGCATACATTGCCTGATCAATGCATACAATATATCAGGTCATTGCATACATTATCTGATCAATGCATACAATATCAGGTCATTGCATACATTATCTGATCAATGCATACAATATCAGGTCATTGCATACATTATCTGATCAATGCATACATTATCAGGTTATTGCATACATTATGTGATCAATGCATACATTATCAGGTCATTGTCTGATCAATGCATACATTATCAGGTCATTGCATACATTATTATATATAACTACAACAATTAAGAAGATACCAACCATTTGTTGTTTTCTGTGATTTTCCACCAACCTCTAAAATAAGTGGAATAAATGTAGAAGACCGTAAATGTAAGAATTGATTATTAGTTAAAACAATTGATTGAAACTAGAAAACCAAAACCGCTATGAAATATGTAAATGAAAATTACGTAAAATTGGACTTATCCATAAAAAATTAAAGCTCAAGAGAAATCTTACTTAAAATGAACGTCTATAACATACCCTCATTGCAGCAACAAATTTGTCCTAAAAAAAACACATAGATAAAACAAAATAAAAATATGCAACAACCACATTACCAAATGTTGTTTCAACACACAACAATTTACATAACCATGCGTTGTTTTGACACACAACATCACCATGTGTTGTTTTAACACACAACATCACCATGGGTTGTTTCAACACAACATTTTATTTTACATTACCATGTGTTGTTTTAACACACAACATCCCCATATGTTGTTTTGACACAACATCACCATGTGTTGTTTTGACATACAACATCACCATGTGTTGTTTTAACACACATAATCACCATATGTTGTTTTAACACACAACATCACCATGGGTTGTTTTAACACACAACATCACCATGCGTTGTTTTAACACACAACATCACCATGTGTTGTTTTAACACACAACATCACTATGTGTTGTTTTGACACACAACATCACCATGTGTTGTTTTAACACACAACATCACCATGGGTTGTTTTAACACACAACATCACCATGGGTTGTTTTAACACACAACATCACCATGTGTTGTTTTAACACACAACATCACCATGTGTTGTTTTAACACACAACATTACAATGTGTTATTTTAATACACAAACATAACCATTTTATTATAACCTATTCAACCTGTCATACGTAACTACAAAATTTCTTACCTGATCAACGGGTATTAGTCCAACAAAAGCTCTTTTTCTTGGACTGAATATCAAAAGTAAAATTTTCACATCGCATTGTTGAAGGTTTGGAGCATTTCTGAAGTGCACGCAACCAGCCTAAGAAGTAAAACAAAATTAAATTACCTACTTATACCGAATCTTACTTAAGAAATAAAGATGTTTACTGTGTTTGCACAGGCTTATGCAAACCAAGGAGACCTTTGGGAGAACTCGAGAGCAGATCAGTGCAAGCCCGAGGGTCGAGGGTTGCACATGCGGAGACTCCGAGGTTTGCATAAGCCAGTGCAAACACGAAAAACATCTTTTATTTCTTTTATAAAATAACAATAATGTGAAAAAGACAAACATTTTAATTTTTCCTCTCGAATGTATTCATGATCGATTTGCAAATTCTCTTTGACTCATATTGATTGTTATGATTGATTTGATTGGTTGAGTTCAGATGTGTTTTGCACAGGCTAATGCAAACACGGCTCTAGACCAATCACCGCACGCGTTCTATCGTTTTTATTTCATAAAAGCTTATAGTTAGCATAATAATAGTAAAATATATTGCAACATGTTTTTCTGTTAAAAACAAAATTTCATGTGCAAATAACTTAGCTATGTTACTATTTAAGATATCATCAATAATACGTACGTTACGTAACGCAAAACGAACAGAGAAAGGGAAAAACGGTATCAAACCCCATATACGTAAAATTATCGTTATCTCGACATAGGTTCGTGGCTTAAAATTCCTTAGAGTTACGTAGCGCAAAAACGAACAGAGAAAGGAAAAAACGGTATCAAACCCCATATACGTAAAATTATCGTTATCTCGTCATAGGTTCGTGGCTTAAAATTCCTTAGAGAAATGTTATAAAAATGAACGCTAATTGCTGAAGAATAAAAAACAAAATTTTGACAACAACTTTAATAACAAAATAAAAAAATAAAACTCAAGATAAAGCAGGCATATTGTTGACGTCTTGCTATTGTTGGTCTGGAAGAGTAACCAACCACCGCATAAAGTTGCCTATGAAATGTGCGTATGAACTTATGTGGGTACGTATGTACTTATGTGGGTACGTATGTACTTATGTGGGTACGTATGTACTTATGTGGGTACGTACGTAGTTTTCGAAAGAACTCCAATACAAAAACTGGATTTTTTATTATATATCGACATACGCAAAGTTTTGTATAAGTTTTTGTTTCTAACAATTAAAGATTATTAAAGATCATAAAGAATAAAGATTATACGCAGAATAAAACAAGTTAGCTTTTTAATTCATCACACATTGACTGATATCATGTAATTTTACAGGGGGGGCTATTTTGTTGTGCAAGACTCCACCCCTCCCCCCCCCCGTACGTGGAAAAAACGAAACAAGAGTATTGAAACGAGGCTTATGTATTACAGTCAATGTAAACGAATTTGATAGGATTCACACCACTTGATCGGATCCACACCACTTAAGTAACAATCTCTCTTTCTCTCGTGCAATTATGAGAAAATTACTAATTGATCAATTGTTCCTTACTACAGATATCATAAACCTACTTACAAATCGAACTTTGGTTGTTGCCATCACCCGATATAACGCTTTTAATGACTCTGGATCATTTGCAGAAAAATGAAAACTGACAGTCTTGGAATTATGAAGGAGCGTCCCAAGAGTTGTCTGTAAAGAAAACATTAAAATAGAGACTTCGTCGTGGTGACAAATTCAAAAATTGTTTTAAAAAGAGCAAATACCATGGTGAATGGTCAAAATAATAACATGACAGTTCTTAAAAGAACTGTTTAATATCAGAACACTGATTCATAGTTCTAAAAGAAATGTTTTTAAAGATAAAAGACACTATGCATTTCGGCAGACTACTCATCATGTGTCAACGTTTGCTGAATGAGAACTTCAAAATCATGCGATATTTATGATGGTAGGAAAAAGTTAACATCATCTCTAAATTGAGAGACGACGCTTAAAACAGAGATCAATTACGCAAGTAATCCTATAGTCGGCAGAGATAAGAGTAATCAACTTAATTAATACTTCATGACGAACGTAACTGAACGAGCGACGTTTTTTTAAATAACTCGAAAATTACGGTCAGAATATAAATTGGCTCTAAAGATTTGCTCTTTTTAAAAAAATTTTAAAAAAAAATTTCTGAAAATTGATTACAACGTGACGTTATGAGAGAGGACTTGCTGTTATTGTAACTAAATTGTACAAGCATTTATACAACTGAGGCACATGACAAATTCTTCTACATATTTGACAAATACTAAGACCTTAACAGAGTTGTAGATAACTTATGCATAGACATAAATAAGGGCTGATGGCTCTTGAGGTGATGCTTTTGCATGAGAAAGACTCATGCGCCTATTGTTTCTACAGTGAGTGAAGATAGTGAAATTTACACAGCAGGACCAAACTTGCGGGCTCGCTACGCCACTGCTCAGGCGTGAATGGTGTAGAAATACTTACCAATAAGGATTGAGGTATTAGCTGCATAAGTAATTCTTGAGGCCATTTATCAGTTTGTCTAAAATGAACGATTTTGTAATGTCAACAGGTTTTCGTAAAAAGTAAATTTTCGTCTATACGCTCTACAACGTACGTGTCACATGTAACATGTCATTTATACGTAAGTCACATGTAACATGCCATTTATACGTAAGTTACATATACATGGAAATCCAAAGCATACAACTCGTTAGTTTAGGATGCATGCAATTGACTCCTAACTTGACTTGTACGTTTTGTTTCTAAGGCAGTTCTCGGCATGGTTCATTTAGAGATGGATCCATGAAGAGTTTGTAAGAGGGGTAGGGGGTATGCTTTAGTTTTGATACGATTTCGATGGCGGCATGCTTCATTGAGAGATGGATCCATGAAGAGTTTGTAAGGGGGGGTAGGGGTATGTTTTAGTTTTGATACGATTTCGATGGCTGCGTACATGTTGCAGTGTCCTGTTAGACTTTTTGTCAAATTTTGTCACCTAGTATTATAAGGAGATTTTGAAAATGCTCTCCATCAAACAATAATCACAATTGCTTTTGCTTAATTGTTTGCTATAACAGTATTTGTTAGAGAACTTGGCACATCTCCTTAGATCCATCCCTGACCTCATGGTAATGTTTATGGAAAGTTAAAGTTGAGTTCACGAGTAATTTCATCGCAAAAATACGTATAACGTCCTTTACAGTTTATCTTGTATATATGTTGTAGTTCAAATGTGTTAAATGGCAGAACATGAAATCGTTTCGTGCAGTAAAAATGTGCTGTTATGTGATAAAATTTACTTACAAATTATCAGAAGGAGAAGTGCACACGTGACATTTAAGCGTTCTCTTCACAGAGTTGCTTCCTGTTTCAGAACGAATCTATTTAAATGAAAGAAAAACGATCAACAAGTTTTGAAATGTTCTAAGATAGTTTTAAAGCAGTTACCCTGTGCCAGTACGCAAAATATTACCTTCATGAAATCAACATACGTACGACGTCACAGCAAGTATTTTTGAAAGAAAAACACAAAACATAGAAAACAAAACGCGCATCAGGCGTTGACTGAGGCTACCAAATCTTTCGCTTACAATCATAAACGTAGAATTTAAATCTCATAAATTTTCAATAAAAAGTAACACCGCATAATTCAATAGCGTGTGTTCATTGCAGAATACTAACAAAGAATTTAAGCCGACGAAAAAAATACAAGTTTAACATGTTCACAACAGCCTTTTTCATGTGGAATAAGTGAAACTCACACATGTTTTTTTCTGCAGTTGATATTTCCCAGCAATGTACACATGTACATGCAATTTTTTCCTACGTAGTTTGGTCAGATAAGCTATCACAACTGTTAGGAAGTTCTAGGAAATCCCATCCCTTGAGGACCAGTCCCCTCAATATTTCATTACGTGTCCGCCACTGGTAGTTTTACAACTGCTAGGATATTTTAGGAAACCCCAAGCTTTGAGAACCAGTCCCCTCAATTTCATTAAGCGTTAGCCAGTGAAACGATCACATAGTTGTAAAGTTCAAAACAAGGGGGGAGTGTTTAAGTTAAGCTCATGCGACAGAGTCTACGTAGTAAAAAAACTTCATACATAGTCACACAGCATCTCAGTATACCGAGTTATTTACTAGGTTATCATTACCATTTCTTGCCAAATCTCAGTATCCTGAGTTATTTACTAGATTATCATTACCATTTCTTGCCAAATCTCAGTATCCTGAGTTATTTACTAGATTATCATTACCATTTCTTGCCAATGTAAACATCCACTCCATGCCATTACTTGTGTTGTACCTCCACTTGTATTAGTATTTCCTACAAAGTACAAAAATTATTTTATATAAACAGCAAATATAATTTTCTTTCGTATTTTAATGTGAATGTGAGAAAAACTCCTAAGTACGTATGTAGTCTCAGTTCTTTTTAAAACACGTGCGAAAATTCGAAAACTGACAAAATACTAATTATTTCTGGTTTTTATTATTTTGCCTTTGTGTTAACAGATATTAAACAGGCTAAAATCCAACATGGATACATATACGAAGTGAAAAAAACGATCCAGGTTCTTTGAAGAGAGTAGAAAAGAAGAAGGGAAATTAAGAAAGAAAAGAGAACACGAAAGAGAAGGAAGGATGGATAGGAAGGAGAATGGGTAGGAGGGAGAATGGGTAGGATGGAGAATAGGTAGAAGGAGAATGGATAGGAGGGAGAATGGGTAGGAGGGAGAATGGATGGAGGAGAATGGAGGGAGAATGGATAGGAGGGAGAATGGGTAGGATGGAGAATGGATAAAGAGAATGGATGGGAGGGATGGATGGGAGGAAGATGGATGGGAAGGAGAATGGATGGAAGGGAATGAGGATGGGAATCGGAAGGAGAATGGATCAAAAAGTGAATAGGAAGGAGTATAAAAGTGAAAGAAAGTTTTCTAAAAAAGGATTTAAAAATACAAAACAAACCTGGCCCTCAGGTAGTGATACCACACTAAACTTCCGCTACTACAAAAATGAAGCAAAGTAAAGCACAATTTAAGACATATTTTTAATGTAACTATTAAACGTTTGATAATTTTGATTCAAATTAAATGAAATTAACATAGTAATGTGACAGACATGGCCGAATTTTCTTACATTCTGAATATTCAGGTTTATGTGAAGGTGCAGGTATTTCAACATTTGGAACATCAGTAACTGTAAAGAATGTTATAATATGAGAATGTTGAAATTCGTTGAGGGAAACAAATAATAAAGTAATATAATCAACTGTTTTCACAGTCAAGTAAGGTTGACAATTGATACAAGACATTGTATGATGTTGCACAAGAAGTATTAAGAGCGACAAGATCTTTATATTCTTTTATATAATCAATTACATATGCTTAATTGGAATCCTTGGACTGTAGCAATTTTCTCCTTTGCACGTTAGCACAAAGCAGTTATGCGTCTGCCGATTCGTTTTTGGGACTGTATACTATCCTACTGTACGCGCAGTCGACACACAATTCTCAATTTTACTTACACACAATTCTCAATTTTACTTTTACAATATCACAGATAATCTTAAACATTTCAAGCTTTACATTTACAGCCAGCGACAGAAGAGACTGACTTTCAACGTGTCACAACTAATAAAGTATAAACATAACTTCCTATTTCCGTTCTTCCATAAGTTCCTAGTATCAAAAAACAATTATCTATTACTTATTTACATAAGTTCCGACATGAACGAAACCACTTTGACCAAAGTGTTGGTCACGCCATTTTAAAAAACTATTAAAAAACATAGAACCTAATTTACTTGCGCACTGTACGTATTGTTTGGCTTCTTATAAAAGAGACATCACAAACTACAAATTTTTTAAAATACGAAAAATTGTCTGTGATGGAGCTTCTGTTTGGGACACAATTCCAACAGAAATCAGAAATAGCGAAAGTATGTCTCTTTTTCCATATAAAATTGGATTGCGTGATTTAGTTTAGTTGATCATAATATTTAAAGATAGAATTAACTTCATAAATACATAAACCTATCGTAAATTGTTAATCGTATATTGTAGGATTTTTTTCTGATAATTTTGTTGTCGGAAAATATCTCATTTATCTCTAAAATTTCCGTGATATGCCCTCTCGACATAGTAAAAAGAACAGACAAAAAATGTCCCATGTTACATATACCACCAGAGGTTATACCACCAAAGGTTATACCACCATAGGATATACTACCAGACGTTATACCACCATAGGTTATACCACCAGACGTTATACCACCAGAGGTTATACTACCAGACGTTATACCACCAGAGGTTATACCACTAGAGGTTATACCATCAGAGCTTATATCACCATAGGTTATACCACTAGAGGTTATACCACCATAGGTTATACTACCAGACATTATACCACCATAGGTTATATCACCATAGGTTATACCACCAGACGTTATACCACCAGAGGTTATACTACCAGACGTTATACCACCAGAGGTTATACCACCAGACGTTATACCACCAGAGGTTATACCACTAGAGGTTATACCACCAGAGGTTATATCACCAGAGGTTATATCACCATAGGTTATACCACTAGAGGTTATACCACCAGAGGTTATACTACCAGACGTTACACCACCAGAGGTTATACCACCAGAGGTTATACCACTAGAGGTTATACCACCTGAGGTTATACCACCAGAGGTTACATCACCATAGGTTATACCACTAGAGGTTATACCACCAGACGTTATACCACCAGAGGTTATATCACCATAGGTTATACCACCAGAGGTTGTATCACCATAGGTTATACCACTAGAGGTTATATCACCATAGGTTATACCACCAGAGGTTATATCACCATAGGTTATACCAACAGAAGTTATATCACCATAGGTTATACCACCAGAGGTTATACCACCTGAGGTTATATCACCATAGGTTATACCACCTGAGGTTATATCACCAGAGGTTATAAACATTAACTTGCATGCATGTATGCTAGAAACAAGCTTTTTTTCTTGTATTTTTTTGTGTGAGAAAAGCAATCAAAGTAATCATTCAAACAGTAGAAGTAAAACAAGAAGATCATTGCTACTTTTTGTCAAAGCTAACTTAGTACCCCTCTATTTTGCGTTTTTTGTATTCACACAAGCAATTCCAAAAAGCTTCAACCAACAGAAACAATGTATCAATGAACAATTATTTACAATGGCAAGATAATTATGCAGTACATAATTAATGCTTGTGCATAAGTAAATCTTTAAAAAATATTCAACAAAAACTCACCATGGAAGTCTATTCCTTTCAGACAAACGAGGTGATTTTTATCGACGACAAAGTCTTTGGGAAGGATGGATTTCTTGTTGTCGTAATTGGCCTTAAACACATTACAGAGCTGCAGTTACGTGGGTATCTCAAATAAAACGACATGTCTATTTATTTAAGAAGTACAAAACCTACAGAGTTTAGAAACACATGGGGAAGTTTGGGAGAAAGAAGAAATTGCGTGGCAAGCGCTAACACAAAGTGGGAGTGTTTCCAAGCAAGTTCAAGTTTCTTCCAAACTTTCACAAATGTTTATATAACTTAGTAGAAACAAGTAAATATGTTTTATATTTCCTTTAAAAGGTAAGCCTTTTAAAAAAATATTAAAAAGATAAATTTATTAATTTTAATGACACAATGTAAATATTTTTGCAATTAAAATTGCATGATGCCATGCAAATCCCGCAACTTGCAAGATTCTTAGAGTTTTGATTTTAATGGTTTACTGAGAATTCAAACAATCAGCACCCATGTATTCAAAAGTCTATTTTATAATTCAATTAAACTTGTCAATTCAACACATATTGCCTACTATGGACTATCCATCCGCATTCCTTCCTAAACTTGATAAATTCTTATCTTTATCCAAATTTACATACCTCACTAAACCCAAGTTATTTCAACATGTATACTATTTGCTTAACCTACCAAAAAGCCAACTTCATTAAACCTATTGCCTAAATTACCAGCTAAATCTCATCCCACTTCATATTTTTTAACAAACACACACTAACTTGGTCATCATACCTTGTCAAAGATGTTCTGAAATGTTGCCATTTTGTGTGGTGCAATCAAAGAAAGATGTACTCCTAACTGAAAGAATAAAATTCGTAAATACAATATTTCGTTTTGATATCACAGCACTCTCAAACATTTGAATCTGAACAAATGTGTGTTGTTTACAATTGATAAGACATACTTTAGTTTCAAAGTTTGACGTATCTTATTTTGCTTTGTGTTATGTGATATATTCATTTTCAATGATAAAATATTTTTTCAATGTTAATGAAGATATTAAGACTTCCTTTATACCATACGTATTTTCAGCAATAAAAACAGAACTGACTTCTTCAGCAAATCCATACAAACTAAACATTGTTCTCCTTTACACATAGATTGAGTTAAAATTTCATAAAATCGGCACCCAGATAACAAGCAAATCAGTCATTGTAAACATGTTATTTAACAAAGCCAGTAGGCTACATATATATTTGCGGGTGTCGAGCAAAGATCCATGAAGACAAACACAAACAATCTATGTACGTAATGTTCTTAATTCATAAATACCTGTCCCATTTTCATAGCAAGCTCATCAATGGTAAGATCGCAGAAGCTATTTCCCTCTAAACTCGTCGCGTCAGGATAAGGTGGTGCCATGGCAACAATTATACAATATCTTTGTACATTACAATCCCTGTGAAACTCTCGATGTCCTGAAGTATCTAATATTTCTAAAGCAATACTCAGACCATCTGCCAACAGTGCATAATACTCTCCTCCACCACCTTCACATTTGAAATTTTGAATTTTATCAAGAAATAAACGACTGTTAGTTGTATCCAGTAATACATTCACGGGAGGATGTGGATAGTCGTCTTTTGTGCCATACGTTACCAAGTAATAGTTGATGTTTTCAAACTAAAATTGAAGAAAATGAGATAAGCTTTTGTGAAGACTGGTTCTACAGTACTTAAGAAAATTTTGTTTTCTAAACAAACTCCTTTCATGTTACAATGTACATAATCATTACATGTTTGTAAATGTAGATCGTCCAGGTTAATATAGTCCTGAAAAGGACTGTTTTTGTTGTTGTTGACTGACGTTTCGACAGCCTTAGCGGTAGTCATCGTCAGAGTCAAACAATGTACATAATCATATCCAAAGTACATAATCATATTAAATTTAATATCCATATCTAAAATTTAGGACATTTAGTGACTTTTGGATGTTGGAATATTGCTAATTTTATGCTGTAAGGCTTAATTTATTGTTAATATGCATTTTAATCAATTCTTTAATTGCATACAGCCAATAAAAGAGTTAGAAACGATTTGCTCTGGGTGAATCTTTACTATATCTGTTGTTCCAACTTGCCTTAGAAATATATACCTCAATTCTAGCATTCATTTTAACAATATGAATCACTTTAATTTAATCATAATACTTAATTGAAACATCTTTCACATAACAAAAGTAGGTCTAAAGTTTGAAGTTGTACAAACAGTAAAACCAAGATAAAAGTCTAACAATTGACTTTCAAAGTGATTCTAAATTTTAAGTAGAAAAATGATGCATATAAATATTGAAGCACAACCATGTAGACTAAAGAAATTGTGGAATGATTTAACATCAGACAATTAGCAATTGAATACATCATTGTTGTCAATTGAAATCTCCACTACGAAATGTGAATAATTCTCAATATAACAAGGTCTTTGGGGAGAAAAATAAGCTTACGTAACATCTATGAGCATGACAACAAAGTTGAAATTGAAACATGAATTTGGTCGATAAAAACTCTTTGGGCACATTACATGGTAAATTTTCTCGTATTTCTTGACATGAATTGAGACAAACAATTACAAATATTTTCTATTTGCTAACATTGGCTGAATTAGTGAGTGAACTTTACGTGTGATTATAGTACGAACTGTCGTTTTTAAGTTTAGACATTGTTGTAAGTGAGTCAACTTACATTTGAAGCAATGAGTTCATCATTTGGTACTGCACCCTCATTGAAATATCTAGTCGAAGAAAAACGATCTTTAGAATGTTAAGAAGTCATTGTTTAATAACATGTAATATAAAAGATAAATTTCTCGTTTCTTTACGATCACTCACTCGATTAATTTCTCAAGATAAGGCTTGAATTTTGAATAATGTAATCCTAGATTCGACGTTCCCTCGATTAAGAACACAACATCTTTTTCGGTGTAAATAACCATTTTATTATTGTGAAGAGTTCTACACTTCAAATTGCTTCAATCATCACTAATGAAATCACGCAAGTTCATCCAATCTCTTGCCACGGCTGATGACATTCATCTTGTATGTTAGCACTTCATTGTTTTACAAACCATTTGTAATTGTAAACGCGACGACTTCCTACTTCCTTGTAACATGACGCCAGCACAGCTTGCAGCAGGTCATTAACATTTCATAATGTTCTTTATTGCCAAATTATCACAATCAGAAGGGAAATCACCTGACCTATTTCACCTAATCATTATGTAGAACGTCCACAAAAAAATTCGTGTAACTGCGTGGATAGAGTAGAAAATGTAGGAAATCTTGAAGTTCTCACTTGAACAATCTTCTAAACGGGAAAATATTTACAAGACTAGCTTATGTACATATATTATATAATATAATTTTGATAACAAAGTAAACAAACAAAAATGAGTAAATAAAAAAGTTAACTTTCAAATACATTTTGTGTAACCGCGCAACCTGCGAGAACTCTACGAGACTAAAATTCTCGGGTTTTTCGAGCATTCAACCAATCAACTAAAATCAAAGCTTAGTTTAAATAATGTAATTAAAATCAATAAATTTAGAAATATAATGTTGCTTTTAATATTGCTATGCATTGTTGATTCTCTTTACAGGCTTCTAAACTGAAAGATTTTTAATATTACTGTCGTTGACGGTATGTTTTAGAAATCTTTTCGCTTCTACCTGAATTCATGTTGCTCTATTGTATTTGAAAAGGAATCACTTTTCATTCCACACAGACAAAATTGACTCGTGCATGTTGTCATTATTCATCATATTTCAATTATTGGAAACGGCAATCTTGGTCGTACCTAATTCAAATTTTTTTGAAATTAACTCTGTTCATTACGCTACTGCGGGTGATCCAGTTCTTTATTCGCACACCTAACAATGTACCAAAATATCAACATATGTGGTAACACTTTAATACCCTTGCCATGAAGAATATAGAGCCGAAAGCAATACGCAAACTTAAAAAAATACTTACCATTTAAAATTTCTGTAGATTACCCAATTTTCATACATACAATGATATCATTATGGACATGAAATTGATTAGTCGTACAGGGCATTAATACTTACTTTCCAAAAAAGAGGAGTGGTCTATAAAAGACCCGGTGTTTTTTACATATTGTATAGTGATTTTTTTAGTAATGAATACGTAAAAAAATTTCTCCATTGTTATTGATAAAAGCAGAGCAATTTTTTGAATACCAGTGCAAAAAATAGTATCTGACAGAATTAAAAAATACTATTTTATATTTAATTCTTAAAAAGTAATAGCATATTGGAAAACAAGCCCTTGTGAGTTTTTCATGGACTATAAAAATTGCATTCGTTCTTTGTGTTTGTTATATGAAATTTGTAAGTATTTTGGGCGTTTATAGACAGACAAAAACAAGCAACTATTTAAAATGCCTTTTAGTTATGGCTGGCTATGACTCCTTTTACAAAGGGAGCCATACGAATCAGTGGCAGCAGAACTTTGACAATAGGGAGAGAGAGCTATATTTTTATAATTATTAGTTATAATCTGTAAACAAAATCGATTTCAACAGAAAGTAATAAATTGAAACATGCATATATGAATAATACCCCCCCCCCAAATTATTAATGTTCCGTCGTCCTTGATACGAATTATTTTTTTGCTTTCGTCTATGGCCGTGTGTTACGTTGCGTTGAAAGACTGGGCTCTACTTGCATAAAATTTCAACTGACGTAGCCTTCCATCTATTTTAGTTCAATGAGTTACTGATCCTGAAAAAAACAAGGGACTCTATTATTTGGTTGGTTAAAAATTGACAAGAAGACTGGAGGCTGTCTGAAAAGGATAAGAAACATAATAAGCAAAATATAAATTGAAATAATATAGTTATTTTGTAGTCTTTGCGCAGTTAGACTAGTGTACTAAAATTGAACACAAGTTAGTGTACTGTTATGCAAACGTTAATTCTTACATATGTTAACGGGAGTTAAGCTGCTGACGCTTTAAGACGGAAAGAACTGTTCAGCAGTTGATTTAACAATTCTGTCTCCAGTTATATCAATAAATTTCTTCTTTGGCATCTCTTTCCAAGTGGCATTGGTGATATAATGAAAATGATGTGATTCACCCTCCATAGCTTTCAGGATATATTTTGCAATATCCTCCCCACTTTGAGCCTCTGAACTGTGTTTTTCAAACCACTGACCCATTTATATCAATTATGTACTTGGTGACGTCATCTCCTTCCTGTGCACCTCCATAACCTTTCGAATCCGTAGTCTTCACAAATTCTGTAACAACTGGACCAGGTTTGATCAATGATATGCTAAGAAATGCATGCATTTGTCTTTGTATAGTGAAGATTATCTCGAAATTGGGGAAAGAAAAATCTGTGATTACCATGGTCAACTAAGGGCAGGTTGCATTGAATAGGAAAACATAATCAATAAATTCCAATTTTGTTTTAACTCAACAGACTGCGCTGTCAGTTGATGTACATTTTAAGCCATCTAAAACCAAACTTGTAAAAATTTATGGCCAAACCTGGATTATATTCACTGGTGTAGCGAAGGGAGGAAGAAATAGGGGAGGCAGTCGCACCCCAAATAATAATCATTATGTTATCAATTATCATAACTTAAGTCAATTCTAACTAAATATGATAGCATATGATAGTACGTGTTTCCTTCAGAAAAGCAATAATAAAGAACACATTTTTCCATATTTAAGTATGTTTTATTTTAATAGTTCAAGTTTCAATAGTAATATTATAAGTAAGTAAGATTATAAGTAATAAAACTTTTAAAATGCTTATTGAAGTTGATTGCGATACTCTTTGAATAAATTTATTTTCATTTTGTCTCCTCATCTTTAATTATTATTATTTGGACAATAGTAATTGTATCATCTTTCTCTGCGATTCCACGTTTGCATCTTGCATTTTTACAGAAATTTACGTTAAACTCAACGCCAGAAATGCACGTAGCATTTTCATTTTTAAGATTCAGTTTTTCCATTTGCAATTTTGTTCTTCGTTCCACGTCCTCACTCACAAATCCAGGAAAAAGCTGACTTAGCATTTTTTCAGCCTCCACAACCTCACTGCAGGGCATTTTCTTTAAAAACCTTACTGTGGTTTGCCTTATTGGCTGTCATAAAAAACACATAACAGTTAAAAATATGTTAATATACATGAACACTGCCAATGGTAAGTAGATACTCTTTAAAAATAATAGTGCTGTTAAACAAGCGTTCCAAGAGAAAAAACGTCTGAATCTCTGCCTAAGGTTGGGATATGGTTCCCTTAGCTCCTTCAAAACTGAACACAAGCAATACTGGACGCCATTCTTTTAGCTATAGTATCACTTAACTTAATCAGAAGATGCCATTATGACGCATGCATGAATAGAAATATGCCTAAATTATGACTGCAGCCTATCTTGTAGATTAAAATTCATAGACTGATAATTTTGAATAAAACTTTGAATAAAATAGATAGTTTTGAGTATAACTTCCAGATGTCAACTTTACCATTACTGTCATGTTGAAAAAGCCTAGAGTAAAATCGCTGGCCCATAAAACACTGTTCAAACCGGGGCCAATCAACAGATGGAAGTTAAGTATTATGGACGAGGGAGAGGTGAAGAAAATTGTGTGCAGTGAAAAAAATTTCGCCTTTTAAGGTAATATTCAAATTTGTCACAGCGAAAAAATCTTTGAAAGAAATATCATCAAGCGCGAGGAAAAGACAGAGACTGGTTGTTAAAGATTAAGCGGATGGATTAATGAAATAAAAGAGTTACAGTGAACTTGTTGCTGTGAACTTAATCTAAATGGATATGAAAGTTTCCTTGAAGCAAGTTAGTGATAATTTTGTTGACGTCATGAGGAGCAAAACATGTATTTCGCAACACATATTTGACACTAAAGATATAGTATTAGCAGTCGCTTACCTGATTCAAAGTCGGTTACAGTCTTTATCTCTGTAATTTTTTTATAACCTAAATTTGGTAAATCTGCCTGGTGAATAAGTTCTTTTATCTCTTGTTTTGACCAGGTCTTTGCCATTGGATCAAAAATTCTGATTTCCATCAATTCGTCTACGCTGGCATCTATAAGTAATAAAACATATAGCTTGATTCGTCCTATTTTGACAACCTGAAAACGTTTCTATATAAATATCTATAAGCAGTCTCTATCGTTTCAAAAGATTTGCTGTATGCAATGTAGAATGAAACTTTGAATGAATATAATCTCTACAATGAGGCTTTTTATATGAAACAAGGCATGAAAATGAACATGTAAACTGTTGACAGCTGACCACAATCTTTTTTCCGTTGACGTAATTGCAACGCAAAAATATAGAGATAGAATATTCTTTTCTAGCTGTAGTGAAGTGCAGGAGTTCTAGACAGAAAGACAAAAATTTTTCTTTGACCTTCTGTGGTTAATCCTCATTAGAAATTAGATATCTATTTTCTATTTCAAGAATCGGAGAGTCCTGTTATGTATTAGATAAAGACCTGATTAGCTTATACAAATTTTGTATGTTGAACGATTCTTGATAAAACTGTGAAAAACAGCTTTGCAAACAAAAATCCGATTCTGCGAATTTCTTTTGCCCCCTCACTTTTCAAACCTCTCTGTGGCCCCTGTCTGACGTCGTCTTTTGGATCAGGTTTTAATTCCAATCAACTGTCCTTACAAGGTGAAGTACGGAAAAGCATTACGCTAAATAAACCTGTGAATAAAACAAGGAATGGAGTAATCTTCCACATATACGATTTTTTAGTTTAGTCGAGTGAAAATTTTTTTTAAAACGAAACACAAGCTTTTTCGCTTGTTTTGGTCATGCTATTTAAATCTTAACAAAGAAAAGGTTACGTAGCAGAATTAAATATTTGGGTGTGCTTCACCACAGCTGTGAAATGGGAATCGCTCATTTATGTATAAACTAAGAAAAGTTCTAAACTTAACAATGTGATCAACTTTTGATTGCCAAGTAAGCGTTCAGGCCCTTTGACCGGATGGAAACCTTGTGAAGCTTCACTTCCATTATGTTCACAAAAGTAGCTATCTATAAGAATTTTTGAACGTTTTTTTAAAGTGAATAGCTAGTATTGGAAAAAGCTTGAATGAGTAGCAAAAATATCTTTCACTACTTTTGCCGGTGAATAGACAGAGGAAAGTGAGAATCTATTAACTGTCAGTTAATGTGCACATGTTTTTTATGCAGGGTTTATGCATTCACAAGGATGGGTTTTAATTTACAAGTTTCAGATAAAGAATTTCTTTCTAGATTTGTTCTTAATGCATTGATATTGCTTGTTAAGATGGGCTTCTAGAAAGCATGAAATTCATTAACTGAATACCAATCAACACCTGTATTGATTGAATTTGAAAAAAAAGAAAATTAGTGAATTTAGTCGACATAAGTTACTTGTCAACCACTGGGTGCATGCATATGCACACACGTCAAACGGATGACTCTGGAAAAGTTTCTGAAAAGGAAGCCAAAAAGGTCATGAGCTTGTGAAAATCACATAAACTTTTAACGTCTTTGATATATTTGTGAATGTGTGGATTTTTCCAAATAGCTGACTTTCCAAATGGATTTGCTGTATGCAATGTAGAGTGAAACTTCGAATGAATATACGCTATACAATGAGGCTTTCTATATGAAACTAGTCATGAAAATCTACGAGTAAACTGTTGACAGCTGATCACAAACTTTTTTCTATTGACGTTATTATAACGTAGAAAGATAAAGATAGAATATTCTTTTCTAGTTCAAGTTAAGAGCAGGAGTTCCAGACAGGAAGACAAAAATTTTTCTTTGACCTTCTGTGGTTAATCCTCATTAGAGATCAGGGCTCTGTGAGCTATGTTATGTATTAGATAAAGACCCGATTAGCTTACAATTCAGTTGAACATGCCAAAAATAAATTGAAATATAAACACAGTATACTTATTTTTAATTTAACAAAAGGATCGCAATAGTTACTGTAAAGTGTACAAAATACTATATTATTATATATGGCTAGCTGAAGGTTCAATGTATATATAACATGTTTATTTGTTGACATTAAATCTAGAAAAAAAATGACGTCAATAAACACTATCCGTAAAAAGCTAATAAAAATAACTCAAATTTGACTGTTGAATGTCAATAAAAAATGTTTTGTTAACATCAATGATGACAAGACAGGTTTCACAGTGTAATTTTTTATGTAGCTATCATTTTTTAGCTAAAACCAGTGTTTTGTTTATACGTAGTACGAAAATAAAAATGTTCACGTCCTTTCTGTTGTAATAAAAATGTCTAAGAATCTGCTTCTTTAGGAATAAGCAGCCACTCAGCCAGCACGGTTATTAAGTAAACAATGTTATCATTTATACACTGGTCACAAGAGATAACTAATATGTTGAGCAAGGTTTTACACTTCTCTATTTTAAACCAATAATATTGCTAGGTATAAATACGAACAACACTCAAGCGAAACCGGAAGAATATAATCGTGAGAATTTTACATTATTTTAAGCAGCACCAATGTATTTTGAAAAAAATGAAATATTTGAAAAATTGTCTTTTGAATCAGGTTTTAATTCCAATGAGCTGTGCTTGCAAGGTAAAGTGCGGAAAAGCATCAATAAACCTGCGAATAAAAAACGAATGGAGTAATCTTCCACATAGACGCTTTTTTAGCTTAGTCGCAGCACCGCCATCTTGCTTATTTTGCTCCCGCAATCAAGACATGACATCATTAATTTCTTTAGGTTAAGATTAAGTTTAGGTTAAGATTAAGTCTATCGTTTTTTTGCAATGATTTAACACAAAAAAATTTACGTAGTAAAATTAAATTTTGCCTACAACTGTTGAAATGTGAATCTCACATGTATTATTGATGTGTAAACTACAAAAGGTTCTAAACTCAACAAATGTAATCAGACTTTGGTTACTAGCTAAGTTAGCTTATATCAAAAGATCTCCTATCCCGGCTCAAATACATTCACTAAAGTAACTATCTATATCATGAATTTTTGAACGCTTTTATAAAATAAATAGGTAGTAATGGAAAAAAGCCTGTACGTACGAGGTTCAAAATTTTGTTTCACTGTTTATTTGTTTCATGCATGCCGGCGAATAGACATATGAACTAGAAAGAGGAGAATAAATTGACAGTAAGTTAATATAAATGTTTTTCTACATTGAGTGCATTTACAACAGACTACATTTAGTTGTCGACTACGGAAAGTTGTCGACGACAAAATACCTGGTCTGTGGAGGCCCTGTTCTTGATGCCGCGATACTCGGCATGTTATTAATATTGTCCACTATAATGCTTGAAATTCACAAGCATAAATCATGACCTTTTGATTCAATTAACTAGTGAAATCTGTCAACAGAGTTATTTGTCTATCACTGGGAATGCTTTGCCACATACGTCACATAAGGGACTCTTGAAAAGTTTCTGAAAAGGAAGCCAAAAAGGTCATGAACTTATAAATATCACATTAACTTTAAACGTCTTTGATAAACTTGTGAATGTGGTGGTTTTTCTAAATAGCTAACATTTTAATAAGGCAGTTTAATCGAATTAATTTGCAAAATTTCTAGTCAAGGCAGCTATAATTTTGCATTGAGTTTATTTTATGAAATAGTTTTAATGTGTCTGATTTGTATGAAACACAAAAGATGGTTTTAATCTACTGAGATCAACAGGTTAATGCATTTGTGGGACAACATTCCTAATTTGACATTGACGCAAATACTTCTCCTTCCTTCAGAAATTTTACGCTGAAACGGAAAGTCTTTTAACAAACATCAAAACAAGCAAAATAATCAAAAACAAAAAGTCACCACAGAGTTAGCCGTGATGCATCATAGAAAATGCATCTAGCTTATGTGGACGGAGTAGCTAACACAGAAATTCAATTAGAAATTTTTGTGATCCTGTTTACTCCTGCTTTTGAACTACTATAGAACTTTCTATATCTATCTTTCTAAGTTGAAATTACGTCAACGAAAAGAAATGTTTGTCGTCAGCTGTCAACACTTCACATGTTTGTAATCATGCCTTGTTGCATATAAAAAGCCTCAGTGTCGAGCATAAGTTCATTGAAAGTTTCATTCTACATTGCACACAGCAACTCTTCTGAAACAATAAATAATAAAGGTGCAAACGTTTCGTTTTGTAGACAAGAAAAAAATGTTCAAAGCTTTCATTACTATAGCTTGCATACTCTTTATTCATGGCGCTGGTAAGTTTTTTACTCCATAATTTCATGAAAATTTCTAAAAAATACCTTTTGCCTTTTTTATTATTTAATTTTTTAGTTTATGTACAAACAAACTTATAACTGCTCTATAGCTTCATCGAATTTCATTTTATTGTGAAGATAGAACTCTCGATGTTTTCGATGATCTTTCTTTTCTAACCCTAGAATGGGCAGAACTAAGCTTGTATCATATAATTTTCAAATGTATAATGAGCTGTGGGCTCATCGATGCAGGTGTATAAAGAATAATCTTATGCCATTAAATTTAATAAAGTATCCATAATCCAACTGTATTGTATATTTTACAGTTGCCAACGTAAATGAATCGATGACAATCAGGATTTTTGACCCGGATGTTGAAACCATTTCAAGGGAAGAAGTTGAGAAACTTGTTCAGCAAGCAAATTTGTTAAGTCTAGGATACAAAAAAATCACAGAAATTAAGACCGTAACGGACTTTCAGTCAGGTAAGCTACGAGTAGAAGATTCAGGATGTTTTTCTAGGGTTTTTTCCGTATAACTCCTGGTGAAAGTATTTCATGAAATAAATAGATCAATTATGTCAAGTCAAAGTGCAACTCATCGAGCTAATATAGCTTTACAGCCTGAAAAATCTACTTAGCAAACATTTTTAGATAAGTGGACAGAAGAACCCATTGTATTTAATTATGTCTTCCTGCTGCTTTCATAGGAGGGGCTTACTGAAACTTTTTTGCGTTTAGGATTACCAGTAAGGAAAGAGGCGTTAAGGTTTTTAAAGAAAATGCGCTGTAGTGAGTTTGTGGAGGCTGAAAAACTGCTGAATGAGCTCTTTCCTGGATCTCTGAATGAGGATGTCGCACGACGAACGAAATTGAAAATGAAAGAATTACATCTGAAAAACAAGCATGCTATGTGTATCTCTGGCATTGAGTTTCATTTCAGTGTATGTGAACAAGGAAGATCAAAACGTGCAGCTAGAAGACACCATTGCTGTAGAAGAAGATGTTTAATGATTGATGAAATCGAACAGTAATGACTTCGATTCGTATTTTTAAGGCTTTTGATATTGGCATAAATTTATAATTAATGAAATCACGATAGCAAACTAGTATGATTTGAAATAAATGATTTTGGAACAGCATTGCAATTCATATCAAAATGGTTTTGATTTTAAATTCCTGGAGTTCGACATTTAGTAATTATTTACGTCTTAGACAATCTTAGTTCAAATTTCATAATTTTATGTGCACACATTTTTTCATTTAATTATTACCGTTATTGGAGCAATTACAAGAGCAGCCTTTTGACAAATGACAGATCAATATGTCAAATGTTAGATCATATTACTTCAGGAATTCAAATGCTCTTTTCCATAGCAGCATATGCATTGTCTACTTGGTTTGGCGTAAAATATGAAATGCTATTATATCTTCTTACTATTTTTTATCCTAAAATACTCGAGCTAAAGCGGTAAAACTAAAGAAAATGCACATGCAAGTGGTAATTATATACGGTGTTGTTGAGTTGACATAATGTGTAAACACCACATTTAATCAATGCACATATCTCCTGATAAATTTTAGCATTAATTTTTATTGCTCTTTTTCTTTTCTTCAATAAAACTACACTGGTAGAATTGGCATAACTATGACAACATGCATAACTACACAGATACTAGTAGATATGCATGTTCTTAAATTAAATGTTTCTGAATTCAGTTGTCTGATCATCAGCATAGCCCCCAATGTCAGATTGTGAATGTCAGATTACTGCATCACATTTTGAAATACATTTACATTTCTAAGTCACTCAGAGACAAGTCCATTGGTGAAATTATATTCTTTAGAAATTCAAAACCAATAGTGCTATTTTAAAAGCACTTTGAATTTAAAATTAAGCAACTTTAATTTATTTTGCTCGCTGCTGCTCGCTGTGACAACCCCAGTACCCCTAGATCCGCTACTGATCCAAAACAAACTATCTTCCTCGTTATCGTAAATAGTTATCAAGTACAAACAAGTGCCACCGGAGAGTAAACATTTTCCATGGCCAGAAGAGTTAAGACTTCGTTAAGGTCAACAATGACTCAATAGCGATTTAATAGCGTCGCTCTCCTCCATTTCCACAAACACAGAACAGATAAACTTTGGCTAATACAGGCAGCAAATGAGTTCAGTTGAACGAAATGAAAATATAAAACGGAATTTTGGAACATTACTGACACTAATTGCAAATAAAGGAACACCGACATGGTTGAAAAAAATGAAAAGTTCCATTCTAATTCCAAGATTTGTTGTATAATTATAAATAAATAAAATAAAGTAAATCCACAATTTTAGAGTTGAAGGATTCTTCGAAAAAGGATGAATACTAGGAAAAACATGACAAAGCAACAATTAAAATTGATGTGCCGAAGAATTAACAAAACTCTTAAAGACAACTCTTAATGTACGACATGATTTTTCTGCATTTGACCCATTTCCATCGTACCCTTCACCTCCTCCATCCTTCCTCCTTACTAATTCTAAACCCCTCTTCACTCCATCCTCCCCCCTAACTACCTACCACACCTTACTATTTTTAAGCCCCTCCTCACTCCATCCTACCTTCTTAACACCTACCACACCTTACAATTCCTTAACCTCGCCTCATCCCACCTTTAAAAAGCTCATAAAATAGAACTCGTGCAGAATATTGTTTACTGTAGATTTATTGCAAAAGAACGGCTCAGAATTAGTTAAAACATGTTTTGAGGCGGCTTAAAATGGAAAGAATGGATGAATAGGGACGTAAAAAACGTAAGGAGTCCCTTTAAGTAACACCATGGTAGCAAGGCTACTTAGTTTATGTTGTAGAAAGCCTTCTCACCACTTAATCCCGTCCTGAACGTAATAATTGATTTCTGTTTCATTTATTGACGCTATTTTGGTCCAACTTCTCATAATCAGATTTTAAATTGAAAATGTAAAACAGTAGAATAACAACCAGAATGCCAGATGAACAGGAATATGCCACAAATGTCATCTGAGTTCCAAAGAGATGAAACAATATTCCCATTAAAGTAGCTCCACCGTCATATCCAATTGCAAAGATAGTTTCTTGTAGACCTTAAAAAAAAAGTGTACATCGTATGTTATATAAAATTCCTTATAAATACCTCGCAAGGAAAATAAGTGTAAGAGGTCATTAAAAAATGTGAGAGGATTGCCTAAAATACAAAAGAAGAAATAACTAAATCTCGAAAGATTGAAAAGTCAAGATTTTGCAAATATCATGCGTACATGATCTGTAGGATTGAAGAAATGCAATTGACTCGTTTAAGTCACGTGCTACAATTTGATTGGATGATAGAGCAAATAAGCGAAGACTGATTGATTTGCTTAAAATTTGTAATCGAAGACAATCAAATCGTCATGAGAAAACCTTTTTTCATTTCTTTTTGAATACGTCAACTGCTTTTACTTTTTCATAGCCTGCATTTGACCATTTCAGAGATTTATCTGAACGCAATGTTTACGTTCAGGTAAACATATTCTAACATAATTCAAGATGTAGATCGTTCTGGTTAGCAAAGTCTAGAGAAGGACAGTTGGTGTTGATGTTGACTGACGTCTCGATAACCTTAGCGGTAGTCAGATAAAATATAACATTATATGTGAACGTACTTACTATCGACTTAGGTGTTCATCAGACGAGCTCATTGCTTTTCTGTATAATTGCTTGATGTGAAATCACTGTTCGCCAACATTTCACTTGATCTGGCACTGACTTCTACATAAACTCTTATTACAAACACCACTGACGTACTCTCACTACCAACATAGGATATTATGGAGTTACCGGAGCTATGCCTTACCTCGACTTACTTCCAGTACAATAGTTAACGCATGAAGCAATTATACAGAAAAGCAATGGGCTCGTCTGTTTCTGTTTTAGGTGCTGAAATTGTCAAGCAACGGGCGCTCGCGACGTACCTTCACGAACTAATTTTTGGTTCCGCTAAGTAGTGCAATAACAGCACTATACATAGACAAATTTCATGATATTCATACTAACATCAACAAACAAAACTGCCACATAACGTTCCTGAAGAAAATTCCTGGCTGTTTAATAAAAAATGGCAATCAAAAACTACAAACCACAGTTAATCGAATCCCATGGCACACAACGACCAACTACTAAAAACAATTTACTTTTGACAAAAATAACTATTACTCCGACTTAATCAAACGCTATACCAACTTAGAACAATTAAGCACACTTCTTTAGATTATTTCACAAAAGATAATTGCACCCACACATTTCCTGCAAACACAATACGATAACTTATGAACCAGAAATCAAAATCGGCGAACCGGTCTTTTACTCCTCTCTGCACTCTGAAGATGACTAAAGCTGAGGTTGTCGAAACGTCAGTCAACATCAACATCAACAGTCCTTCTCAGGACTTCACTAACCTGGACGATCTATATCTACCAACATGTAACAATATACTTTGTTTTAAACCATTTACTATATTAAGAAGCAATTAAGCACAACAAACAATTAAGCACACTTCTTTAGATTATTTCACAAAAGATAATTGCACCCACACATTTCCTGCAAACACAATACGATAACTTATGAACCAGAAATCAAAATCGGCGAACCGGTCTTTTACTCCTCTCTGCACTCTGAAGATGACTGAAGCTGAGGTTGTCGAAACGTCAGTCAACATCAACATCAACAGTCCTTCTCAGGACTTCACTAACCTGGACGATCTATATCTACCAACATGTAACAATATACTTTGTTTTAAACCATTTACTATATTAGAAGCAATTAAGCACAACAAACAATTAAGCACACTTCTTTAGATTATTTCACAAAGATAATTGCACCCACATTTCCTGCAAACACAATACGATAACTTATGAACCAGAAATCAAAATCGGCGAACCGGTCTTTTACTCCTCTCTGCACTCTGAAGATGACTGAAGCTGAGGTTGTCGAAACGTCAGTCAACATCAACATCAACAGTCCTTCTCAGGACTTCACTAACCTGGACGATCTATACCAACATGTAACCTTTGTTTTTTAGATAAATCTTACGTGGTTGATCAAAACAACCAATGAAATTAAATTTAAAATACGGGTTGAAGCGCAGAAATGTAATCTACTTACCCAAAATCATATTGGAGTTTTCTTTGATGCTTTGAAAAATGTAACCATAAATCCATCATATCGTATCGGTCATCGTTCGAACAAATGCAAGGGCTAGATAGGAACACGCATAGAATAATAGCGAAATACATAATGTTTTCAATTCACCAATGGTTGTGATCAAATAAGTCGAAGAATATACTGATAAAGCAAGAATAGGCCTTCGAACTATTGCTGCAGTTCCCAGTAGCAATGGAGTCGCAGACAGCTTATCCAAGTACCAAAATTCCCAGAACAACAGGAATGAGACGCACATGCCCGTAAAAGCAACAAAGCAAACATGAAAACATAATGTACGCTGAGAATATCTTTTCGAACTCTGACCATTTGAACGATCTTGTTTCGCTGTATTCATATTCAAACCAAGGTAGCGAAAACATCGATAATAGAAGAATTATTCCACCTGTTACAAACGATACAAAATATCCATTTTCTTCAGTAGCGCAGAAGCGTATTTGTATTTCCTTGGCCAGAAATGATGTGGAGAAGATAAAGAAGGCGGCACCAAAATGAGCCCACATCAAATAAAAACCTATCTTTGCTCGATTTTCCTTAAGATGAGTAATTAACGCTAAGTTCATTGAACTCAAATTAACGATAACTGCAAGTGACGTTACTGTCCTTGAAATGGTAAGCATGAGAAACAAAATAGTCAATATTCTTGGTTGCTTGCGTACTTGTGTATGAGATTGTTTCATTTGAATGGTTTTGTTCGATTTTGAAGAGTATTGCGATTTTTTTTGTGACGATCCATTTGTATTCGGGGGCAAGCTAAGTGTTTTTCCATATTTCATGTGTGATCCATCTTTGTCAGTGCTGGCAGTGAATACGTTGTCGGATGTCTCCCTCAATGTCACATTCACGGTGGTGGTTTGTGCATCAAACCTTGAAGAATTCTGAGCAAAGTGACTCAATTCAATTGACGATACATCCACACATTTTGTTTTCAGTGAAGGTACAACCAATGACAGGAGTGGTAAGAGTGTCATAAAAAATGCGATGAAATTGTTTATCACGACCAATTTTTTCCTTGCTCGATATTTCTCACCAAAGTAAAGATAAAACGGAATAAAAAGATAAACAAGTCCGAACAATGTGTTCAATCCAATCTGCCCCGGATTGAAACCAAGTTGTTTCAAAAATAAATTGAAATACTCGCTGTAAACTGCTTGAAAGCCGCAACTTGTAAAACAAAACCATGCCAACATAATTGATCTTTTTTTTAAAGTAAACATCGTTTCACTCACGCAGGATACCGTTATATAGGTCATAGAGTTCCCTAGACAATACTATGACTGTGTACACCAGAAGGTGACTTATACATACGTATAGGTAATTATAAAATATGCAATTTAATTGGTCGAAACATGTGTTGGATGATTAATCAAATTTTATCATTGGCTAATGATAGGAAAGTGTTAATTTCCTCTCAGTGGCTAAGTGCGCAGTGGACCAGTACTACTATAATTATTTGTTATACGTACTGGAGTTCAAAAATTTTATTTTTTTCTAGTAAGTATTGCCGATTTTTTTTCGGTTTCTTGAATAACAAATAAAAGTGTTATCACCGCTATGTACAAATCAAAGGCAAAGCTAGAATGTATTCAATCATGCCCTGCTGATTTGTTTGAAAGAAATCAGTAGGGCATAACTGAATATATGAATATACACGTTCAATCAACGTTCTGGTTTCGTCTTTTATGAATTTATATAATATATCGAATAAGTTTAAAGTTTGATAATCCATATTTTGTTAGGTTTTGTGATGTAGCCATGTTCTTCTTTATTATAATTTGACTTACACCAACAAATGTTACAGATAACTATACGATCACATCTAAAGTTCAACGTGTTCTATTTTACAATGATTTAACTACTTCTATTTATACAAAATTTACGTAAGATTATTTTGGGCTCTGATAGCAAATAAGGTTTATTGACGTCAACGGAAAACTACTAGGAACTATAAAAAATATTGTCTTGATAACATTATAAGTATCTCTTAACATTAGTCATCTAATTACTTACACTTGAATTAATGTTTACTAATCACGGGAAGAATATGAGAGCATATCTTAACATATTTAATGTATAAAAAAAAGTTTCTCTGGATTGTATAAAATGATTTTATTGAGCTTTCATCTCGGTGCTGCGAGCCTTCATCAGAAAGATATAAGAAGTTATATACAGTAAATGGTTTGAACCCGGGAGTATCGTAACATGTTTGTAAATGTAGATCGTCCAGGTTGGTAAAGTCCTGAGAAGGACTGTTTTTGTTGTTGTTGACTGACGTTTCGACAACCTAAGCGGTAGTCATCATCAGAGTCAAACGATCTTCATGTAGATCCCGTCAGTTGTATCATGAATTGTTGTTTTGTCCTTATGTTTGGTGAAACATGATTTGAGTTTTTGTGTAGGTTTGTGAGCGACGTTAATATTAAATGGTCGAAGAAGTCTGGCAGTCATTTCTGATGTTCCGTTTATGTATGGCAGGGGTCTCCAAACTTTACAGCCATAGGGCCACACGAACTTTCATCCAGCATGTTGAGGGCCGACGAACCGTATACCGCTGGTCAAAGAGCGAATATTTTAATAAAACGAAGTACATAACACAAGCTTCATTAGTTAAGAAAATAGCTCCTTCCTTAGCTCAAAAACCCTTGAAAGCACTTTTCCACAACTTAGCCATCTTACTGCAGTGTAATATGGCATGTCAACAGATTCTGTCTCAGTAGGAAGTTGGGACAAAAATTGACGTAAGCCACTCTTGCTAGTTGGCTTGCGTCATAACGTGAACTTTCTGCACAAAGTTTGTTTTGTCTAATGATATTATTATTTTTTCTTAAGTGTCTCTGCGGGCCGGATTGAGAGGCCCAACGGGCCGTAGTTTGGAGACCCCTGATGT